AGGAACTCACCTGGGGTTTTTCTACAGTAAACTACAGTAAACTCTCTATTTACCTATTAGTGTACTTGACATTCTAATTAAGTTCCTAATTGGATTGCTACCCAGAAACATACATCTGTTGCAGATTATTTCCTCATAAATTGTAGGGGAAGGCGTGGAACAAACATTAGTCTTATGATTGCAATCTATTGTGTTAATTCACGTTTTTGTTTGTTTGATTGTTGGCACCTTTAAAGTTTCAGTCTTTTCTTTTAGATTAAACTGCTTATTGATTTTTTTTTTTCACAATTAAGTCATTGCACATGCAAATGTTTTAATCAAGTTTTAGTTTTAGAAAACTCAAACAGGTTTTGTGCATTTTCTATCTTTATATAAAAAACACTTTCTATAAATGTTGACAAGTGAATAGAAAGCCATTAATAACAAACATCATATCTAAAAAACACATTACAAATGTGAATATATTTATTATCCAAATCATTTGTTTATACTCTTCAGTTGTTTAATAAATTCTTTTATTTTATTTTATTTGACTTGTATCCTCAACAGATGAAAAACATCTTGGAGCTAAAAGCTAATACAGCAGAAGAAATGTTCTTTTAATTGGGGGACTATTATCCTTTTCATTATCTGTCTGCAGTCCTGCTTGTTCATTTTTCCTCACATTGACTCCTTTATGGAACTTGACTCTTTAAGGAACTTGCATTTCCACGCTTAGTAGAAATTTAGCAAATAAACATTTAGCTTACCGAACAAATCAAAGAGCTGCCTTGATTATGGCAAGGATCAACCTGGTACAACAAACAGGAATAGGTCGACACACACCTTACAGGACAACTAATCATGAGAACAATGTGCTGCTCTTCTGCTTCTGTTACCATGACGCTGCTACTGATGTGCATCATCCTTTCCCTTACTTTTATATTAACAGTCCACACACAGCATTATTTTCTTAATCATGAAACATTTAAATTGGAAATAGTTTCAGCTGGGGACTGTCTGTCCTCAGAAATCGAGACACCTGGTCTCCATATTCCTTTAGTTTTTAGTTTAAGCTACCAGATTGCAGACTAAAATTGATTTTGAATTGATTTGAATTGGCTCAAATTTGTTAGAATTTGATATGGCATGTTTTGTGCACATATTGTACAATGTGCAGACCAAACATAGAGGGAAACTTTGCCTGCATTTTCTACATTACACAAAACAAATGTACTATAAATCCTTAAATGGCCAAGCTCCATCTAATATCAGAGATACGATTGTTCCTCAAGCTTAAGTTTTACTAGTGGGTCCTTGAATTTTATATAATAGTTAGAAGGCTCCTCTCCTGTGAAACCAACTACTAGTTTTAGTCCGTGAGGCAGACACCATGTCTAACTTTAAAGGTAGGCTTAAAACTTTCTTTTTTGATTACGCTTATAGTTAGAGTGGCTCAGGTTATTTTGAGATTTCTCTGTAGTTATGCTGCTATCGGCTCAGACTCCTGGAGGACCTAGGGGCCCCTTTTTCATTATTCCACTTCATTCTATCTCTATTCTCCCGCTCTGGAGAATTTGTTAGTTCAATCTCTAACATTATGCTTTCTCTGCTTTTCTCATGGTAGATTCATCTGGTCTGTTCCTGTTTGGCTGTGTAAACCTTCCTGTAGAGAAATATCAGCTGTGCTGCTGCCATCAACACCTTTGTTCATAGATGTTTGGCCTGTTTTTTAGTGTTGTACTGTTTCTCTGAGTCTTGCTGGATGGATGTGCTTTCTTCAACCTCTGACATGGGAGCTGGCTCTGAGCTTGTCTGCCTGGCTGTGTATTTTCCTGTGGAGCTGGTTGACAGTTGCCTTTTGTATCTCTGCTTCTTTTAGTATGTCTGCTTCTGTCTCCTTGAACCCCAGTCTACCTGGCTGCTCACGCTGAGCCTGGTTCTGCTGGGGGTTTCTTCCTCTCCACTGTCGCTACAAGCATGCTTAGTGTGAGGGATTGCCTTCGAGTCAATGAGTCGATGCAATCATCTGGTTTTCCTTAGATAGAAAAACTTTGAATCAATCTGACTATATGATCTGGTTGAATTGTCTCTGTAAAATGTCTTGAGATTACATATGTTGTGAAATGGCGCTATATAAATAAACTCAATTGAAAATGTAACTAATGTCAGAGCAACAAAATCCATTTTAGTCTGCAGTTAAAAGACCTTACCTCTGCAGGAATATCAGTTCTGAGACCTTTAAGGTGGTGCTGTGCTATTTTCCCTCCTTGTTTATTTCCCTGTTAACTTCCCTTGAAAATACATTTGATTTTCTTTTGAAAGAATCATATTTTAAGTATATCTATAGGAGCTTCTGTGCTAGTTGGGGGCAGTGCGAAATGAGCACAGGATGGGGCCCAGCATTTTGATCCTTTAGCTTTCGACTGACAGATGACACTTACATGAGCAGAAATGTCATTGCTTTTGTTTGTGGAATCTTAATGTGTCATCGACATTTTCATGTAGTCTTTGTCTCGACAACAAAACTCATGCACGTCTAGTCATTTTCAGTCATCTAAAAGCCATGTCTGTATGCACTCTGTGCATACAAAATGACGTTTGTCTAAGGAGAATTTAGAGAAGCCAAACTAATAGTCATGTTTTTGGACTGTGGGAGGAAGCCGGAGTACCCAGAGAGAGACCAACAAATGCACAGGGAGAACATGCAAACTCCATGCAAGAAGACCGAATCGGACCTGAAACCTTCTTCCGAGAAAGCAGCAGTGCTACCCACGCATGTGATTTTTTAAATTTGAACTTTCATTGAGTAAATTAATAAAATAATCTGTGAATGGAATGAGTGCTTCGCACTTAGAATGTGAATATATATCTATAATCTTATTTCAAGTGCAGTAAATACACAGTTATCATATTTTAGGGGCCACTATACTCTTTATTTAGTCAGATTATTTGCTGGCCTGCAATATTTCAAGAAAATTTACCTATTTTGCGTTCTTTTGTGTTCTAAATCCCCAGTGTTCTGAATAGTATGCAAACACTGGGTCCAGGTCTTATGGTATAGGTCTATAAGCAGCTTGCTTATAGACACAGACCAGTCAGGTGCTTGTAATGATGATGGTAATGTTTGTACCAGATAAATGTTGGTTAAAGACAAAGCAGAGACTTTCAACCAATAACCTTTTTAACAACCTCAGAATAAAACTGATTTTTTTTTCCCAATTCCTAAGTTTTCGAGCAGTGTCACAAGACTTAAATGCTTCTTGACTGAGCTCTCCTTTCCCTTTTTGTGTGCTCTGCATGTGTTTTCTCTGGACAGCAACCCTAACATTTGGATACAGACAAACTGCAATATAAGCAGAGAGAAAAAAGACAATTTGAAGAGAGCAAAAGGCCAAAAGCGGGTGGAAGAGGAGGACATTTGATGATGTGGATTTACATGCATAGAGAACCTTAGAAAATTAGATATAGCTTTTACAAGATTTCTTACAGGAAGGAAAAAAATTAAAAAAAAATTCAATTACTGCATCTAATATTTCTGCTCCCTCAATATTCAAGCGTGCCAGAAATGGTTTTATCTCAAGCAGGACTTCCTTCTGCTGTGGCCATGTCTTTCCCTCTTAGCTGAGGCTTTCCATTGTAGCCAGTCGACACTCCCCCAAGATTTGTGGCTGGAAAAAATGAGAGTGAAATGAAAGAGATAACACCGCTCTCAGACAGTGCAATCAAATAGGCAGAAATGTACAGAGTAAGTTACAACCATTTCCATTTCCAGCTCCACAATGCAGACCAGTCATCTGAAAGGGCTAATAACCTGGTTAAGTGAACAGGATGATGGAAAACAAGGGAACATTTTTACTTTCTGGAACTGGATTATCCACCACTGAGAATAAGAACAGATAATATTTAGAATCTGAGCCACATTAAAGCTTTAAATAAGCTTTTTTTCCCTTTATAAAACACATTATATATTATAAAAATGTGACACAAGAGAATACAAATTATGCTTTTCAAAGAAAGTTTTATTTATTTAGAGAAAAGGGCAAATCAAATCGCCCTGTCCTTATGTGAAGGAGGACAAGTTCATGCAACAACTGCTTTTAAGCAATAACTAGTAATTCATCTTTTGCTCTAAAACATATGACCAACACTGCTTTGGAGAATTTTTTCAATTCAGCTACATTAGAGAGTTTCAAAGCATGAGTTCCACTCACAACAAAGCAGCTCTACTGAAATTAAAGTCTAAACTTTGACATCACCGCTCCAAAACTTTAACTGCAACCTCACACTGGTTCTACCATGTTTTATGTACTTTTTTATCAATTATTGTGGAAATTTCTGTCAGAGGAAAACAAGCGCACAACTATTACCATTTCCATGGTATAAGCCAAGCTTATGAACCAGTTCTAAGTTTGTAGGCAGTGGTAGGGTAGATAAAAACAAAGGCTTTATGCACAGTTACATGACAGAAAGGTATGTGTGAAACAAGCAATAGATTAATGCCACAAATCTTCAAACTCCTTCAAAGGTCTTTTATTCTAGATCTTCTTTCATAAATTATTTTTAAACCCTTTTTTTAGTACCTGAATTTTGTATTTCAGTTTACTGACTCCACCCATCTATCTATCCATCATTCTCCTGCTTATTCCATCAGGGTCTGGGGCCTGTGCCTATCTTCAGCAGTTCATGGGCAACAGGATAATACAGAGACATGCACACACACACACTCACACCTAAGGACAATTTAGAGATAACCTACCAGTCCTTATTTTGACTGTGGGAAGAAGCCGGAGTACCCAGAGAGAACCCCTGCATGCACGGGGAGAACATGCAAACTCCATGCAGAAAGACCCCGGGTAAGGAATCAAAACCAGGACCTTCTAGCCAGGGGCAGAGCTAGATGGGGGGCCAGGTGCCCGCTCCCACCATTTTTTCCCTCTAATACAGATGGGGGCAGCAGTAATACTCTCAAGTGGAATATTCAAAACGTTTTGATTTTTTGTGGTTAATTTTACACATCAGTATACTAACATCAAATATGATGAATTCAGAATTCATGCTCTTTTCAAAACGACATTTTGTGTATTATGGGGTAAAGAGAAAATGTGTCTTTGCAAGTCAATCTGGGAGTCTTCAATGAAATCATAGATAAATAACAATTTTATTGTTTAAATATATGCGTCCACTTGTTAGCATAGGCTGTAGGAAAGTATAGTTTGTCTTTATTTAGAAAATATGGATGTTTTGCTTGTTAATTTTCCTGTTGGAACAGTGTAGATTGACCCAGAGTTTATCCACTTTCGGTCACCCCTCAGTGTACATTGGTTATTGCCTGTTCACCCTTATAAAAATGTTCTGCTTACGCCTCTGCTTCTAGCTTCAAAGCAACTGTGCTACAAACTACGCTACTGTACAACATGACATATTTGGTGACTCCTAGTAACATATTATTTTATTTTCACAACTTAAGGCTAAGGTCTGTTCTATTCCATCTGGCAAAATGATAATGTGGTTTATTTAAGTTGGCATGAATGAAGTGAATTAGTCCCATCTGCTGCAATGCATCCAAACAACAGCATTTTAATACCACAAATTTTTTATTTAAAAAATTAAAATTTTTACTGTTCTATTTTCTTAAATTTGTGCTTTATTTGTCGACTGTAAATATGGTAAAAGAATGTCAATTAAGTTTCAATAGAAAACTGAAAAAATGTCTTCCTCACTAAAAGCAAATGCAATTTAGCCAAAGTCAGTAAATGCATCACTAGATGATTAAGAAGTTTCAGACAATACCAGCAACATCCATCAGTCTAACACTCATGTTTCATCCTATAACTCTACTTCCGTCCTATTTGGAGCTGGATTTAAATGAAAAGGCTGGGCCTGAGTGTCCAGCTACAAATCATAGGCTGGGTTTAAGCTTAAGCTTCAGATTTGTTTCATGGTTGCCTTAAAAGCTCAAGTTTTTAGCTGCCTTTATTTCCTGTGTTTGCAGGACGGTCTACTTCTAGTTCAAACCACCCCATCCTCACAAGAAGTAAAAAATAATCCATACAGAAAATATACCTAATCATATCTAATCAGAAAATCCTACTGCAGCATGAAATAGATAGAACCCCCCCACCCCCGATCAACAAATTTGTCTGAAGACACTGGATCCAGCTGTATTCCTCTCCCACATCTGGTGGATCATTTAGGTCTGGAGGACTCGTTTTACTTCCTTGTTGTCACACCAACTGTAGCCGTGTAAAGTGAAGCCAGGCGCTGAGATCCTCCTAAAAAACAAAGAAAGAAAATCACTGGCCTTTCAAACAGATCAACAACATCAACTGTGAATATGCTATAAAAGCACTAAATGCTGAAATGTTCCACATCATTTAATGTTGACACTCGTGGATATTAGAACAATTAATAATCAATATATTGGTTACAGAGAAAATACCTGTGAAAGAAAAAAAGATGTCTGGTTTCATGTTAGTATTTCTCTAAGTAGCTCCCATTCCTTTGGTGGGAGAAGCCAGACATAAAGGGGCTGGCATATGTTAATCCTCAAGTGCTCACAGAAAGTTTTTATCCCCCTCCTCTCTAACTTAGACCTCTATTCTGGAGCTCTTAGGTGTCATCAATCACCCTTCCTGCAGGAACACATCTGGCTGGCTTTTTTGGACATAATCTGAGAGGAAGATCACATAAAAAGGAATATATATATGAAACAGTATCTTCTATTTCTTGTTACCGAATGGTGTCTATCAAAGCTTGCCGTATTAATGTAGACCGAAATACAGAATAGAACAGGTTTTCCTCCTCCTTAAAAACTTACACAAAAGTCCAGGAACCAGAGTAATCTGGAGGAGGTGGAGCTAAAGTAACACAATGATGGGAGGAGCTATGGAACTCACACAGCTGTGCTTATTAAGGTATTTATTCTATAGTGGACCAACTTCCACAACTCGGGTTGCTTTGCTCTAGGCTATGTCTTTGAGAACCATCAGAAGTGTGTATGTTTTATCTTGGTTATGGATGAAGTTTATAGTCTCTATTGCTCTTGGTGTGTCATCCTCTTGTGCCCCCCTCCCCCCCAGACGTGTAATGATATACAGCTGTGTTAAAGTTACCCCAAACCAACCAGTGAGGGAGAGAGAGAGGTTGTTCAGACAGCTGAACTCATTTCATGTGTGCTGTAATGTGGAAACGATTTCAGCCTTCTCCTCTCTCACCAGAACTCAGCTCAGCTTTAACCCCTGAAACACCAGAGAAGATCTGACTCACTGAACACCGTCCAGACTGCTTCTTACTTCTCTCCGATCGCAGCACTACAGCTGATCCTATTTATACCGTAAAACAGATATATTCCTGTTTTTTCTTCCTTTTATGGAAATTATTTTCAAATGTTAAAAAAACAATAGGACTAGTAGGCTATGTATCATTACCTCATATAAGTTCTCTTCCTAAACGTTTAAGGAATAAAGTCACAATTTTTTTAATGATATTTTGATATGCAGAATATTTAAAGATTTTAGAAGGTATAAAGAAGATGGCTTTACCTAAAGAGTCAATTAAACAAAATAGATTCTGTTTAGTTTGTGTTGTATTTTCTATATCATAAACGATACAAAGAAGAAAAAAATGTAGAGCCTGCTTATACAGTGAAAGAAAAATAATCGTTTTTAAGTGTTTGTCCAACATTTGTCCACAGTCCCCTTTATTCTGATTGCCCTAAATAAAATCCAGTCAGATCAGTTTCCTTTAGAAGTCAACAAATTTTTAACTACAGTGTAGTTGTGTATTATTTAGCAAAAGCTGTTTTGTTAGAAAAAGCTCCGATCCAAAGAGCAAGCTGAATTCTTGCCCTTTTCTTTTATTGTTTTTTTTTTATATTAAATATAAAACACTTCCTGTTGGAAATCACGCCGATAGGAACATCCCCAACAGCACCATAAAGAAAAAGATTATACAACAATATGCAAAGAGTTAAACTTTGGTTAGAGAACTGTTCAATCATTCATCTGCAAGTCGAAATGGCAAAGCAACAGAGACATGGTGATCCACCTAAAGTGACAGGTCAGATTAACAGCCAAGAGGTCCATGTGTTCTCTGGGCGAGCTGCAGAGATCTACACCTCAAGTGCTAGAAGAAAGGGTTTTTTTTTTTTTAAAAACCTTGTAGAGGACGTAGCAAAAATTTATGAAAAGGCGTTCTGGTAAAATACAACCACAGTTAAATTTTTGGCCTATTTGGTATAAAATACTAAGGGTCTGATCCCCAGAAGGTTTATATGAGGTCCTCTGGTTCAAGCTTGCCCTGCACACCCAGAACCAGAACCCAACATTGAGAAACTGTTTTTAGTTTTCATGCTCCACTATTCTGGATCAAACTCCCAGAATACTACTATAAAAGTGCTAAACTCTTAAGCTGCTTTAAATCAAGATTAAAAACTTACTTGTTTAGTCTCATTTGACTCTGCTGTCTAAACATTTTTAGTTCACATTTTAGTCCTACTTCCTTTCATTTTATTATCAATCATTTTATTATTAGTTTTTTTTATCATCTTGTCTTTTAAATTATTATTTCACATTCTTTTTAATTTCATGTTCATTATGTATTTAATCATCTATATGCCACTACAGTGTACTTTTCTCTCTTTTGCTATCTATTTATCTTTGCTATAGACTTTTCTTGCCTTGTGAAAACATGCAAACTTGTTAGCACCTGCAATACTTATCTTTAAAGTAGGTGCAAATTGAATTGCTTGATAGCCTTTATGAATATGCAGATCATATTCCAATGACCAGATTAAACAAATTCATGAGAGGAGGACTACAAATGTAAAAACCTACCACCTGCTAAATAATTTCTCAAATTGATTGTGGAAGCAGTTTTTTGTGTCTATATTTTGATACGTTAGAAAGTCTGGAAAAAATACGTCTGCAGAAGGGAGTCGTTAAATCATTTTAGCCTGCGCTGAACTGTCTATCTTTCTGGAAACATTTTAGTAATGGAAGAAGAAATTGCCTGTTTTGTAAACAAACCCATACTTGTTTGCTATATTACTTACTCAAATGGACATTGTTTATCCTCAGCACATGCACTTGTTGCACATGCAATTTGTTTCTGTTAACACAATTGAACTCATTTGGATTCTTTGAAGATCAGGGGTCCATTTCAGGAACCAGGTTTAAAAAACTCAGATTCAAAACTGCAACTATGATCTAGCCTAAGCTCGGGAACTCTGAGTTTTCTGTTTCACAACGGCTGTTTTGAATTAGTTTAATCAACTCTAAATACGTCCACTCAGAGTTAAGCGCATACATAACAAGTTTAAAAAGCCATCATCAGTGGATTGTAGACTCCACGAGTCACCATGTCAACAGGCAACAGGAATTGCCTATTTCAGCCCATTGGAACTCAAGGTTTTAATTAAAGAAAAAAAAAATGGAGAATGTGTTTAAAGACAATGAAACAGAGCTACAATTGCACAGGAGAGGAAGATAGCGAAGGAAAAGATTATTGCTTGAGTTAATGAGTAGATCTATATGAAACCGTCTATGACAGGCTGTTTTTTTATTTTATAAAAGCACTCTCCTCTCTGTTGTTCCATTTGTAGATCACTAAAATAAGATTCCTTATGATCAAAATCACACTCCTATAGTATATAATATATTTTCTGAATGCAGAAACTAAATTTCAGAAAATAAAATAGACTAAGTTACTTGTAAGAATTCAGTTTTATATACCTAGAAATGTTTACACATTTTAATTGGCCGTTTTGACTTTTATCAACTTGACTCAATATGTATGTATGAATGATATCTGAAATGCATTTCTTCATAACGAAAATAATAAAAATGCTGACCAGTAATAATAGGAACATAAAGATCTGGAATACATTCATAGACATCCGGAATTTTTATTATAGATGCGAAGAATGTAATTTTGTTTTAAATTGGTAATTTTGACAAGGAAAACAGTTTTTTTTTTCCAGATATCAGGAATACATGTTCAGTAAAACTAATACATAACAAAACGGCTTGCCTATAAATATTTAATTCTCAGTGGACAAAAGCGCCCATCATTCTTTAATAAGATCCTCATCAAACAGACATGCAATGATTATTTCAATACACAAAACTATGACAAAAATCTGACAATGTCAGAAATAAAACAACGTTATTGGCTGTAATGAGAGCAGGGACAGAGGACACTCTGAGTTTACTGAAGAAAACCTGCTACTGACCAGGTTAGCTCAGGGGAGAATGTTACTATGGTGACTGAAACAGAGGTTGAGGAAACTCTCTTTGTGAACCAGAAAACACAGAGTTTAGAGTTTACTTTAAGGTTTAGAAAACGTAAGAATTTTCAGTAAACCAGTTTCTTAAAATGGACCCCAAGACTTAAGTGTTGTAGAAATCTAACATTGCACATCACCTGGAAAACTGCAAAACACAGTAATAGCAGGATCATGCCATGGAGAGGTTTACATAAGTTTCAATTGTTTCTTTTCATGTAGTTTTCACAATATTTGGTGCTCGTAATACCATTAACAACAGCATTAGTTCTCAGGTAGCAGTTTTTAGCTTTCAGGCTCTAAAATTTAACCCTCTCCCTGGTAGCAAACAGTTTTTCTTATTTATATTCTGCTTAGTCATTTATCCATTAAAGGTGTTGTAGGAGATCTTGGAAAAAAGGTTCCAGCAAGTTATATATTTGAACATACACAACCATGCCTCTCCCTTCAGACCAACCCACGAAACCCCGCCTTCGAAACACGTGAACACGCATGCTGCCTGCAACGCATCTAGATCAGTAGGAGCAGCGCTATGATCACTCCTCTGAAACACTTTATTAACGTCTTAATTAACTTAAAATGCCGAAATCCAGCAAAACATGTTTGCTTTTATTATCCTGGTGCCTGCAGTTTGGTTTACGTCCATGAAAAGCGCCTTCCAGCTGGTCGCCTCCGCTGTGGTAAACCGGAGGCTGAATGGGTTGAATGGGATTCCTAGTGACAGCTCACCGCTGGTATGTGGGGGTCTGAGCGGCTCCGACAGAAATAATATTAGAAGGCAGGATGGTAATCTGGATGAACTGACTGCAATGATGATGTTTTCAGGTGGATTTTCTCACTTCAAAATAGATTCAAACTCATTTTTACCCACTGATCACAGCAAATATATCTGCCATTTTTACAGGCAAAAAAAAAAGGATAGGGTAGCTCCGCCCATACGCATCAGACCCACTTTTTCCACCAGAGCAGCAACCGGGATTTTGGTCGACT